ATTATTAAAAAAAAAAATACTAAGGTAATTCTACATACCATTTTATATCATAATATATGTTTCATAGAATAAATAAATTTTTATTTAAAAAGTAAAACAGGAAAGGCACTGCTTAGGATGCGAAATATTTTTTATATTTTACATAGTCATTTAAACCCTGATATAGATAATAAACAAATGGCTTTATTTAAATAAGAAAATAATGCTAAATATGTTAAAAATAATATACACGGATAACTGTTTCTGTAATGCCTGTATTTTTAATAAACCCACGTGGTTATTTTATTTTTTAAATTAAGCAATATGTACAAATATTTCAAAAATTAAAATCTATCTTCGAGCATACAAGAATATTTAACTGTTGGAAATTCTAATTATATCTTTCTTGTTTTCTTCTGCTTAATTAGCCCAATTTTTTTAGTATTTCATATAGTCATCTTTTTTTAAGATAAATTAAAAAAAAAAAAATAATATAATCCCATTGATAAAGTTTGTATAAATAAACAAAGATAATGACTATAAATATAATTTTTTTTTTTATTGAAGCTTTTATTTTATTTCTATGTAATATGAACTGAATTGCGAAATAAAGCAAAATAATTTTTTTGCTCAAATTTGAATATAATATTAGAATTTTTCCCCCATTTTTACGTATAGCAATTGTGTAAGAAATTAAACTCATAAATTGAGATGTGTTTATTTAAAATATTTGACAATAATAAGCATTTGCGCTTAAAATTTTGAGTAACTTGAAAAAAGAAAATAATAATAAGGAGCTAAATAATTTTGCACATTAGTTTTAGCATTTAATCATTAAATAATGATCCAATACAAATTTTATAAAACAGTTCTTTATGTGCTGAATTTTATTGTACAAACAAAAAGCATGGAATTTTTTCTTAATTATACTAGTATACTGTATAGTAAAATAACTAAAATAAGATTAATAAAAAAATATTTTTAAACTATATTAATTTTTCTAGTTAAATAATAACTATGCATGTTTTTTAATATAACTTAGGTAGCTTCCATGATTTATTAAACGAGAATAAAATAGAAAAGTTGTTCCATTTACCTTATTCTGTCTAACCTTTATTCATATTGTACGCATTGTAATTTATTTCATAATTCCTTACGTATAATAGTAGTATGAAGATATCTGTTCGTACAAATACACAGTTATTTTGTTACTATTATTTATTAAATTTATAGAGTCTGAATCCAAGGAATTAAATATTTTATTAATAAGGGATCCCTAAGATATCTCTTACAAACTATCAGTATGTGAATAAAGTATCGAGGTAAATATACATTTTTCGTTAAATCATGCTAATTAGAAAAGAGTTTTTGATCAAATTAAAAAAAAAATATAATAATTTATTAGTTCTTCACAATATATCTTCTTTGATTTGTTCAATACTTCATTTTTATATCATTATACATAGCAAGAAAATATCTATCTTTTTAAAATTTATATTCTATTTAAAAAAATAACACGACTATTTTTAAAAAATATTTTTAGATAATGTTATAAACACTTCAGCATATATATATTTTATTTATTTAATATTATAACACATTTCCTTAAATATTAGAAGTTTCGGTTTCTGTGGTAGGTCATTGTATTCCTATTATATTACTTTATTTTGCACCTTAGAATACTTTTATAATTAAAATTGGTAACAAGCTTAGGAGTACCCCTCAAATGGTGTTAAATTTTTATGAGTCAGCTTTTTCATATTCTTTCTTTTCCTTTACTCGGGTTTTGTGAAAATTATTGTGTAATTATAAAACAAAATAGTAAAACAATTTAAACATATGTGTGTATTCCACAGAAATATATGAAAATATGTTCGTAAAATAGCGTCTCTAAATTGGTAATGTGTTAAAGCAATAAAATAAAAAAGTTAAGGTTGTGCTTTCGTTGATTTGCACTTTATTAAACTTTTAAAGGCAAATGTATATTCATCAGAAAAGAAAAATTAAAAAAGTATAAGAGCTAAAACTTTTTTTAAATTAAATTATTTTTATTATATTGCAAGTTGTAACATATCTCATAATTAATTTATCAATTTGTTATTTTTAAAGGCATATACAAGGCATGTTTGTCATGTAATACAGGTGCAAGACCCCACAAAAGGAAGAGCATAATTCTCATGTTTATAAACATAACAAAATAATTAATACATATAACATAGTACATTATTTTTTTCATTTTTAATAGTGAACTCATCAGAAAGAGTTTTTTTTATAAATGCTTAAATATTTATCATAAAAAATGTAAACAAATCGGCCAAGTAATTTGCTCATGTGTATAATGTAAGCAGGAAATCATTCGTTATAATGCAAAAGATATTATGGGTGTGTGTAATAAATGAAATTTAAAAATACATGTAAATTTTCACGTACTTCCAATAACATAATTGATTAATCTCATCATAAAAATTTATCCATGTTTCACGAAAACGTAAATGTAAAACTTAAAAAAAAATTTTAAATTAATCTTTTATTATGTACATTTTGTTACCCCCCTAAAAATGAAATAAGTTTTTGTGTTTTGTTGGTATATAAGTATTTCCTATTTTACACTGTTTTAGTATACATTGTGTACACCGTCGTGAGTTATGATGGACTGTTATAGGTTAATGCATCTTAATGGTCACATTATAGTTAAAAAAGAAAAACTATCCTTAGTATAATTAATTGTTTTTCATGATATCATATTGCTTCTTACTGTTTATAATTTTAGCCTTATTGTACACAAGATTATAACGTTACTGAAAAAATAAAAGTTACGAGTTTTACTGGTAGCATTTATAAATATACTTTATTGTTCCTTTTTAATGCTTTTATAATCCAGACTTATTAGCTAATGCTTTTCGTTGTGTTTCACTATATTTTATTCATTTAAGCTCTTCTATTCCTTTGACCACATTACTTTTAAATTTTGAGTGGTCAAAAGTTGTGTACTTACCCTAATACGTGCTTAAAGAACAAACAGAACCACATTAATAAAAGAAATGAGATTACATACGGTAGTTTTGCATGAGTTATATTTGAATTTAGTAGTGCCTTTAAACGACAAATATAAATTATCGCATACCAACACACTTTCATTTACGTACAACTTATACTTTACAAAGAAATATAAATTACATTGCTATAATTTTTTAATAAAAAAGTAAGCAGTTTCATTTATTTTTCATAATTTCATTTGAGTGTGGAATAACGCAAATGTTAGTAAAAAAAATTTAAATAATTTTACATTTCCTTAATAAGTGATTGAGTTTTTAAGATAAAGACCACTTAAATTTTATACATATATTATTTCTGAAAAAACGCAAGTCTTTGTTAAAATAGAATATAAAGTAAAACGTCTTCAATAAAAATAATAACATATCAAGGGGGCTATTTTTTACACTATATGCTATGGAAAAGGATTTTATAGTAAGATTTAGCAATGCATAAAAAATATTCATTCCGTGATAAGTGACCTATCCAAACAATTTAAAAATATTTAATGTGCATAATTCTTATACCTTCGGATATATTATAAGAAAAACATACCATTCGAATGTAAGGTAAAATTTTATTATCAACCATGTAAAATGTTG